ACCTTCCATCTCTGTTTTCGTTCTGACAGTGCTATCACAGTGGATGGGGGTGGGATTCAGAGTTTTAAGCTCAGGTCCGAGTTCTGCCACTTATTTGCTCTGGCTTTAAACAAGTCAGTTATCCACGCGTACCTCAGGGTTCTCAGCTGTGCAGTGGGCAGAGTGATACCTGCCCTGACTAACAGAGAGGGTCACTGGGATAGTAAAGTGTGTTGCTCCTAGCAGGCGAGCTTTTGCAAGATGTCAATGTAGGAAGCAAACAAAAGCCTTTTTGTGCTATGAAGCACAAGGCAGATGATGATTTTATACATAAGGATAAGGCCTCTCTAAACGATACAGCGGGACTTTGGGCTGAAAGACAACAGGACATGTTTTCTTCATCTTTAGGACTCAGCCAAGAGAGCAGGTGGGGAGACCTGGGAGCTCTAGTGGTGCACAGGCAGAGTGGGGTGGACGGATCTCACTGAACCTGAAGTCCCCACGGTTGTTGGCGACACGTTCTGCAGGGCAGTAGGACGCTGAGGTCTCCAGCACCACAATCTCCACCTTCTTGCTGGCGTTGCCCTGGATGGTGGACACGGAGCACTCCCACTCGCCTGAGGCCCACACGCCAATGTGAGACAGGGTCAGCTCGCTGTGGGAGCAGGCAGGTGGCCATGAGGCACTCTGGGGCCCAGCCAGGCACCTCTCTCAACACTGTCTGGACCACTGTCCTGTGGGTCCTTCTTCAATGCAGCGAGAGGTACAAGTGCACATTCCTTTTGTTCTGATGGCCTAGTATTGTTTATTTGAGCCTAAATTCCCCCAGTTTTACCGTGGATGGGCTAATACCTCTTCCAGGCCCCCTAGAGAGTAAATAGGTGAGAGCCACTCTATACATTATAAACGCACTACAGAAATGACAGATGATCATCATTTTTTTCCTCCGAGGTATTTAATCTCTATCCTTGATTGCAGTGTTTCTCAACCTTTTTTACATCGCAGCACACTCGAACCTATAGTTAAGCTTCAGCGGCACACTTAAATTATGTTGATTAAAAAAAAAGTAACAAAAAGAATCTACTTACTGTGCTTTGAATTTCTTTTGAAAATAATTTAATTAATGGTCTTTAAAAATTTTCACAGCACACCTAAGATCCTCTCACATCTCACCAGTGTGCCATAGCATGTGGGTTGAAAATCACTGATCTATTCAGACCATTTACGACTTCATCCAAGAATTCCAGAAACCATACACACATTTTCCATGAACACGTCTGGGCACAGCTCTTCTGGTGAGGATGCTGGGCACCCTGGTTGGGGAGGGCAGCAGGACAGTACCTGGTGATGAAGGTGCAGTCGTGGACCAGGCTGTCCGCCAGCAGCACGCCCGCCTCCTCGTCCCCCTCCACGGCGGCCCGGTTGTGGTACCAGCGGATGTGAGTGTTGTTGCCCAGGTAGCTGGCGGAGCACTGGAAGGGCAGCCGGTCACCCTGGAACACCACTTGGCGCAGGGATGGGATGAGGTGGTGGGTGTGCAGCTCCAGGGCCCCCTCTGTGCGGGAGACACCAGCAGTGAGGCCTGAGTGCACGCATGTGATGGGAACCCCCTGGGGTGGGCTAGGTCCCCTCTGGCTGTAGCCTACTTCAGCTGGGAAGGAAAAGGCATGGAGAGAAAGTTTCCAGGCTCGGCACCCACAACTCAGTGGTTAGGGTGCTAGCCACATACACTGGGGCTGGCGGGTTCAAAGCCAGCCTGGGCCTGCTAAACAATGACAACTACAACAAAAAAATAGCTGGGCATTGTGGCAGGCACCTGTAGTCCCAGCTACGAGGGGGGCTGAGGCACACAGGATCGCTTAAGCCCAATAGTTTGAGGTTGCTGTGAGCTGTGACGCCATAGCACTCTACCAAAGGTGACAAAGTGAGATTCTGTCTCAAAAACAAAGAAAAGAAAAGAAAGAAAGTTTCCATGAACTAGGGCAAAGAAGAGGAGCAGGGAGGCCTTTTTATCCCCAGAGGTAGGGCCAGATGAATACACCCAAGCGGCCCCAAGGAAGCTTAGTGAAGCCGATGGAGGATGGACAGCAGTGGCCCCAAGGGAAAGAGCACGCCCTGGAGACCAGGCTCAGTGACAGGCTGGTGAGCCTGGCGAGGACTCACTCACCACAGCGCAGCTGGGCCTCCTGGAGGCTGCCCAGGGCCTGGGCGTGCAGGGCACGGGGGTAGGCACAGAGTGTGTGTTCCGATAGCTGCAGGGAGTGGTTCTGGGCCCAGGGCAACAGCCAGCGAAGGTGGCAGTCACAGGTCAGGAACTCTGTGCCGAAGTCCCTGCGGGGTGGAAGAGGGCGCAGGGCAGGAGGTATGGACATGCAGGGTGGGAATGAGGCCCCCTGAGACGGCTCCAGAGGGCTGTAACCCCTCACCCCGGGCAATCATGGGGAGGCACACGGTGGCCACCCAGGCTGGCCAGGGGGGTGACAGTACTGTATGCCTCCCCTCCTGGGCACAGGAAGGGAGCCCGTCAGGGTCCCTGGTCTGGGAACAGATACTCACACAACCTTAAGGGCTGGCAGCTCATCAAAGACCCCTGGCTGCAGACTGGAGAAGATGTTTCCAGATATGTTTCTGCAGGGGGCAGGGAACAGTGGGACGGGGCCTTGAGGTCTCCCTGGGCCAGAGGAGGTGGTGGGAAAGATGCAGGGAACTGTGAGGTTTGGAGCCGCCGCCTTCCTCCCACGCCCTGCTCCTCTTGCCTCTGCTCCCAGCTTCCCACCCGGCACTCACAGTCGGAGAAGCCTGGGGAGGCCTTGGAAGGTCTCAGAGGTGAGGCAGCCAATCCGGTTGTTGGAGAGATCTCTAGAGAGACACGCACAACCTCAGCCAGCCAGCAACGTGGTAGCACAGCACATCAATCCGCTCGTGAGGGGCACACATGTGGGGCTGGGGCGCGTGTGGACAGCTGGGCTAGAGATGCCTGCTCTCTCCACCCCAGCCATGATCTGAGGTGCGGGGTGGGAGGTGAGACGGAGGTGGGGATGTGAGCAGCAGGAACACTGTTCATAGGGTCCAGGGGGCTTTCTCTGGGGAAAGGGGGGGCTGGGACTGTGGGTCAGGACGCGCCACTCACAAGCGCCTCAGCTCTCCCAGGCCCAGGAAAGCCCCGGGCTGCACCGTGCTGATGACGTTGCTCCTCAGGTCCCTGCGGGAAGCAAGTGGGGAGGCCTCAGACTTCTCCCCGGGGGGCCACCTGCTCCCCAGGGATGGTGTGTCCTGTCACCAGAGCTGTTGGATTTCTTTGGGGCCTGATTTCCTGCTAAGTCTCTGCTGTCCCCACTGGTTAGAGAGTTTGGGTTAAGGACCCCCTTAGATAGGTCTCCTTGGCCACCATCAGGGGGTCTGGCCAGAAAAATGGCAGAGGATGGACAAGCCAAGAGGTGGGGTCAGAAGGGCCTCGGAGGAGGAGGTGCGCGGTGAGAACAAGCTGTGGGGAGAGCACTGGACAGGGAGTTCAGAGAGCTGTGTTCTGACCTCGCCTGGCCTCTGAGCTGCCCTGAGGACGCCATGTGGCATCCCCGGGGGGCATCTGGAAAAAGGTGTTCGGGCCTTTTGTAAACTGCCATCCCAAGGTAGAAACTTTCTCGGGGCGGCGCCTGTGGCTCAAAGGAGTAAGACACCAGCCCCGTATGCTGGAGGTGGCAGGTTCAAACCCAGCCCCGGTCAAAAAAAATAACTGCAAAAAAAAGAAACTTTCTCAAGCTTGGCCTGGGGAGGTGTGGTGAGGAAGCCAGTTGGGCAGGTGGCTGAAGACCAAAGGACTCTGCCTGTCTCCCCTCTGGGGCAGAGTGTGAGCCCCCCATCCAGCGCCTCCTTCAGATGAGGAATCCCTGGGGAGGGGGGGAGGGGAGGCAAAGGCTGGGCCATGGTCCTCAGCCCACCTTCTCCACCTCTTCAGCAGAAGATGGCTGTGACCCACCTGGGCTGTGAGGCACCAAGTCCCACCCTGTGGGGTGAACTGCAGGTAGGTCCACAAAGCAGCTTTTGCCTCTTAGTGTGATGGCCCAAACCCAGCCATGGCTGCTCGGCCCCCTTCCACACCTGCCCAGGGGCAGTGCCAAAGGGATGGTTCCTGCCCACGGGGTACCTGCCAGCTGCCTGTCTGGCCCCAGTCCTCCTGACTCAGCAGGCTTCCAGGGCAAGGGGACCACTGAGAACCATGGTGGATGCTGGCCCACTGGCCACCTCTCTCCTCCCTGTCCTGTGCTGGGCAGAGCTGCAGAGAGGTGCCTAGAAGGCAGAGGGTCACTTGCCCACCTATTCAGGGGCCACCTGGGTCTTTCCTGAGCCTGACCACAGCAGGCTTGAGGCTGGCAAAGCATCTGGAGCACCTCTCTAGGCTTGCTGCTCAGGAGGCATCCCCTGCTGTGACCCTGGCTGGGGTGGGGGAGTTGCTTTTGCACTCTGGGTTCCACCATCCTCCTTGCAGAGGGCAGGGGGGTGGGTAGGGAGTCTCCTGGGACAACCACATGTCCTAAGGGACTGTGGCAGCAGGAAGACAGGAGACTGGTAGAGATATCTGTGGTCAGTCTGCTTTCTAAGGCCCTTCTGTCCCCAGCCTAGATGGAGAGAGGGGACTCTTGCTCTGCCTGCCAGAGCCTTGGGGACACTTCTGGGTTATAGATAGGAGGGGGTTAACTGAGCTAGCTCTCCACTGGGAAGAGAGGAAACCAGTGTTCAGGACAGGAGGTGCCGTCCCACCAGGGGGCCTGTTTGTGCACAGTCCCAGCTGGGGACAGAAACACCCCGCCCAGCCCTTCTCACAGCCAGGGGTCCTCCCACCTCAGTTCCCTCTCAGGACTCCACGGCCTCCCCACCCTGCATCCCCTTAAGAAAGAAGTCAGGTCATCAGCAGGGGCCAGCTTCCCAGAGGAGGGGGGACGCCATCCTGTACACACAGGGAGAGTACAAGCAGCAGAACCTCAGGTACCCACTGCACAGAGAGAGATGACGCAGGGTGAGTACCCTCCAGCCTGCCCAGGGCTGCCCTTCCTGCCGACCCCCCGCCTTTTGCTGCCTAGACCCTCGTCCTCCTAGCCTGCCCCTCTGATGTTGTTCTAGCATGTGCCCCAGCCCCTGTCAGGGTCTGGCCATTCTCAGGGCTCTCGCTCCCACCCCCACGCGGGAGAGGGAAACACATTCCTCATTGTGTCACTTCCCTTCATGGGTTGCCAAGGGGCTCAGGCTGCAGCCCCCCTTCCCTCTGTGCTCACTTGTGTTTATTCTCATTTCCTCCCCGGGCCCCTCAAAAGCCCCCACCGCCTGCCCCACTGATGCTGTACAGATGGGAGTGAGGCTGCACTCGCCGGCCGGCCGCTTCCTGCCCTAGATTTCCTGCAGCCGAGCAATGCTGGGCCTCTCTGAGAGGGGAGCTGCTCCCAAGTGTCGGCATCCTCTCTCCCTTGTCTCCCGCCTGCCTGCCTGGAGAGTGGCTTCAGGGGTGACCAAGGCAGTCTGGGTGCTCTCCTCTTCCACCTCCACCAGCTGAGGGCCGATTTTCCTCTGTGCCCACAGCCGCCAAGGCCTCCTGGTCCCTCTCCGTAAGGGAGCAGCTCTGGGGCTGCAGCCTCCTGAGGGGCAGGAGGGAATGCTGCCACAGAAGTAGGACGGTGTTTGGACCTGCAAGCCTCCTACAGAGCGGCTGTCCCGACCCTTTCTTGTCAGCACATCCCTTTGAAAGTCTGAGGAAGGCCTCCCACCCTAGGAAAACACCCTGTGCCCAACCTTGTGCCTGGGATTTCACAGGGGTGTAGAACCCGTGTTGAGAGGCTCTCTGGATTGTTTAATCTCTTCCCTTCATTTCTTAGGTGAAGTCACAAGGCTAAAATAGCTCCTCGGAGGACGCACAGATGTTTCTATCATGTGGAACTGCCCACTCCCTGGCTGCCTCCATAGAGCCTGGATCTTGGAACCTAAAAAAGATGGGGTGTATTGACAGGGCTCCCCTCCCCTGCTACCTCCTGCCCCACCTGGAGCAGGCTCCCTGGACTGCCCGCCACCCTGCCATGTATCTATGTTGATGTGCAAGAGCAGGACTCCCCTCGCCTCTGAGGCAGAAGGAGAAGGAGGATTCCTGGGAGCAAATCATGCCCTAAGCTGTTCTTGGAAAGACAGAAGCTGAGTGTGTAAGAGGGAGCCCCAGTAAGGAAAGAAGATTGAGAAGGGAATAACTAATGAATACAAGTTCAGAAAAAGCAAACAGGGATAGGGTTGGAAAAAAGACTCCTAAGTTGGACTTCATAAAAATGAAAACTTTTGCACTTTAATGGAAACCATCAAGAAAGTGAAAGACAACCACAGAATGAGAGA